TGCCATTTTCACAACCCCTCCTTTCCAAATCCCCCTCCTCGTCTCTGTCCAGAGCCGGTTATTCACCAGATCCGAGCTGCCCGCCAAAATTTTATGGGCAGCGTCAGTCCGGCTCCTTTCCACCAGCCCATTTATTTGCTTGCTTCACTCGGTCGGAGGTTCCAACATATAGCCAGATTTTGTCCTTGATGCTGAAGAAAATACCCCTTTGTCAACGAATTTCACTTGTTCACGTTATTCGCTAAATTTGGTTTCGCTTTTAGCTACTTGCTACCTTACCGACAATGACACATCAAAGTTCATCGTTCAAACCCACTCAGAGTAGCCTTGCTCCTTAACAGAGGATTGATTGCCAGCTTGCCTCTCTCTTCATGTGTTTCTCTCAGCTGCATGCGAGGTGCCTCTGTTGGAAGGGCAAGTAAACCAAGAATGCTGAGGAGAGAGAGCTGATGGGGAAGCTAGCAGTTGATAGAATTGGGGGGACATACACCACACATCTGGACAATAGCCTTTGGGATATTGCTCTATAACCTGAATGTGGCCTTCAAACCATCGGCACCTCTTCCAGCTACACGGGTTGCTATGAAGCCTGCCCTTTTCCAGTTGGTCTGCTGGATTGACGATCCAACGGCCATTGTATTTTTTCTGTCTGCAGACTCTGCAAGGCCTGGCCCGATTTTTCAGGCCATACTGGTGGTTTGCAGGCACACTATCTCTAAGAGCCAAAATTATTCGACCTCCCATTTCCGCTATGGGGAAACGTGGAACCCCGTCAGCGGGCTATCCATGGATGCCATGTATACGTCTTCATTTTCAGAGGGCCAACATCCGACATGCTGGTGGGTTCTTCAAAAGCTGCCTCAGGGAAATGGGACCCCAACTCCCAGCTGCAGCTGCTGTCCCTCGATACTTTCCTCAGTCTTAATAGCAGCTTTCTCTTCGAATGGGTCGACCAGGTGGCATACTGGCATAACCCAGTGGATGCCACCCTTGCCAGTTTCTTTTTCTCAGAAGGGGGTAGCCCCTAACCTTAGCGTACTCGTCTCATTCTGCCAGAAACACATGAAACACATGATCTATTTACTATTAATTGCACGTGTGTACCATCCGGCCACCTGGGTTGTGTACCTTACCAATTTCATGGCTGAGCAATCTGCCTCGTTCCTACCTCAGGACATATGTTGCTCAGAACTCCAGACATGTGTGTACCATCATTGTTTTCCTAGCCACTTGGCGAACTTCACCTGCCTTTCTAAGCAGCAGTACTGCTGGTGCGGAACGGTGTCCATCCCATTTGAGTTGTGAACCAGCTTCAAACCACCACTTGCCATGGACACGACTCCCTCAAAAAACTGAAAAGAGAGTTGTTCAGGAACCAATCTAGTCCCCCAAACCGTCAAACCATCACAAACCACTTATGCTTGCTATGAGATGTAGCTGGGAGGTGTGTAGACAGCGTGCAAAAGGAGTATCCAGGGGTAGGCCAGGTCTGGACAATGGCAAAACTACAGTTAGCGACTGCTAGCCTGAGTTAGGAGAGAAAGCCTGAAGGGCGGAAAAATCGGCAACATGCTGCTATTAGCCATGCAGATATGACCACATAAGAGTGTACTACTAATTTGTAGACAGTATGTGCAGATGTGACTGACGGACTTGTGCTGGTCTGTAGGATCAACTTCAATATGAAGGTACCCACACTTAAGATCAATCTTGGTTAAGACCTTGCACCCACTTGTAGTGTCAAGCAAATCATCATGTGTGGCAATGGGTACACATTTTTCCTTGTGATGCGGTTTAGACCGTGATAACCAATACACGTACAAAGTTTGCCTCCTTTTTTGGGACAAATAGAATGGATGCACCAAATTCAGATTTACTAGGCTTTATCCATCCCTTGTTGATCATCTCATCGATCTGTTTTCGGAGTTCCTCCAACTCGCCGGATCCCATACGGTATGCACAACCCCTTGGAGGAACAATGCCTTCGACTAATTCAATCGTGTGTTTGACCGATCGCGTGGGAACTCCACGGGGTTTGGCCAGAACTTCCGAAAATCGGTCGAGTAGGCTTTGAATGCTTGTTGGGATCGGTGGTGGTGGAGGATCAAAAAAAGGATCACCTAAATCAGGCCGCAAATTATTAGTAAAGGCAACCAAATCTGAAGTAGACTCATTTGGAATAGAAGTAGATGTAGGGATAAAAGTAGATTTATCATGCAATGTAGAATCATTACTGGCTGCAAAAGTAGAAGGTACATGAGTAGGACGAACAAAAGCAACATACAATTGTTCATTCTCCTTATGCCTGCGAGGCTGCGCCACTTCTTGCAAAACTGCATGGCATTAAGAAAAGTCACCGGGGATTCGAGCTTCTTATCCAAGAGCGTAAGACGCTCGTTCCCTTGTGCATCTTTGACCATGAACAACGGTTCCTTCCACTTGGTCCATTCACATTGGGAGTGCAACCAGCCCAACCCGAGGACTGCGTCGAAGGGACACTTGTCAAGAACATAGAAGTTTAATGTGTGTGTGATAGTCTTATCTTTGCCAAAGGTAATGCGCACACCTTTGACTGCGTGCGTGGCTGAGACAACCTCTTTATTGCCTACTTGAGTTCCACAAGGGCTCTACAAAGCCACTTGCTTCATCCCCAAGCCCACCTTGCTTATCCCGTGTGGTGACATAAAATTAGTTGTGGCACCACAATCAATCAAGACACAAAGATAGCAGTGGTTGATGAGAAGTTGAAGAAGATTAACTTTGTCGTCCCTTGAGCATGCTGCTGTTTTATCTCATCCCAATGCTCTAGGTGATAGTGAAAGTCGACCTTCTCAGACTCCTCCCAAGGCTCAATATACAAAAAAGGACACGCATTAGCCTTGGAATCGACAGAAGTTGGGGCTTCAAGGGAAGACTGCTCGACCGTGACGTGTTCCTTGGGAGAACTATCATTGACCGGTTCATACTCCCTTGCTGTAGAGAGTGCTAATGAACTCTTTACGCTCGATTCAGGTTTTCCTACAGCCTAAAGCATCCTTGGACCTTATGATTAGTTTTCTGACTATGCAGGCAACCTCCTTTCCTTAATCTAGCCTTCCATTCAGCCTCATTGATCCGGAGGTCAACCCAAGGTTTAGTACTTGCATCCTCTGGATTGGCTGGGACTTCGGCTACCTTAGGGAGTGCGATAAAGTTCCTTACTGAATTCCGATTTTGGTTTTCCTTACCATGGGCAGTCTTTTCGAAGTCACAAAACTTTTCCTCTTCGTTATCGATCTCCGATTCTTGGGTTGAAGAGTAGGCTGCTTCCAGAGTGGGGTCATCTGCTTCGGCCTTCCCTTCCGCCTCCAACAAGTCGAGCGCAGCGAGATGGTTGCTGCCACGAAACGATCCACGGACAAAAAAAAAATTATTGCTTGCTGTGGTGATGAGGTCTGCTGCCACAAGACTGACTACATCCTTCAATAAGGAAAACCAGTCAGTATAACCAAAGAAATCCCCGCCTAGGCGATTGGTGAAAGTGGAGGGAACCGTACATTTGACAACATCCAAGCACGATTGCGTTGTCTGTTCCAACTCTGGTGTCGCAAAGAGTTTCCTAACATGCAACTGCAATTTGTGCATGGTGCCCTGCCACTTGCTGCGCTTAAGCTCGTCGAGCAGGATCTTTATTCTAGTTGCAGCATGTGGGTCCTTGTATTGCACAATTAGTACCTCTTCGAGAGCGGTTGTCGGGGTGACTTTAAGCCACTCCGTCAGATCGATCTTAGGATACCCAGATTGCATAAGCTTGGACTTCTAGGAAGCCCCTTACGACAACCTCGACGTTTGTCCCTGGATCAAGGACTGGTTCACTCTTTAATACCCTATACCTCAAAGTAAGCTCTCATGGAGCTGATCCTGCTGGGGCCTTCCTGCTGCAACGGGGTGATGAAGATGGCAACCACCATAGTCAGGTAAGTACCTATGGCGCTCCTCCTTCCTAGTCCTTATCTACCTCCTCCTGCTGTCCTTGCTCCTTCCCCAGCAGCGCAGCTCTGCGCTAGCGCTTCTCCAGCCAGAGCTCCAACCAGTGTGTCGCCAAACTTGCACACCGACAATGAGGAGCACTTTGATCCTCTTGGAGATATATCGGCCTGCTTGCCTCTTTGCGAGTGACTTCCTAGGTCGTGCGGCCTCCAAACAACTGATACCTCCTCCCATTCTGAGGGAAACATCATTGCAGACTCTGATATTGCCCATACAGGCCCTAGGCTCAGACTGGTTGGACTGGTACCCGCCTAGACCTAGCCTGCAACTACTGGGTCTCTAAAAATGCCAACTTTGTCTTCTTCTGCTCGTCCTCGAGTACCCGACACATCTACCTCTACCTGTTGTGGTACCGGCCTACCTGCTACTTGAGTGTTTTTGCACCGCTCCAAGTCTCGCGGCCCTCTTTCCCCTCCACTTGAGTGTTTTCCCCGCTGCCACCCTCAATGTCACGGCCACAGGTAAGTACCGGCCCTTTGGGCCTTCCACACAGACCAGTACCCTCGCTGGTCACACACACACTTAAACCGACAAGCACTCAGACAGTCATGCAGACCAGCAAGCACGCACACACTCAGACTCAGCAACAAGCCGGAACTCAGCAAGGCATACATTCCCTTGACAAAACACAGAAATCAGCTGTGTGTCTCAGTCTGTGTTTGGCAGATCTTAACAGAATACTCTTCAGTGCTCAAGAAGTCTCGAAGTTTCTCTCTCTCTCTCTCTCTCTCTCTCTCTCTCTCTCTCTCTCTCTCTCTCTCTCTCTCTCTCTCTCTCTCTTCCTTGCTCATGTGTACGCCCTCCACCTCATGCCTGTATAAGCTCATAATGAGTTGAATAGGGCAGTAAGAAAAGAAAAAGTAACTGGGCAACTCAGTCCCTGTAGGGTATCACTGCCAAGGGTCACTGTTCAGCTGAACGACTTTTCTTCTTCGTTTTCTTTCTTTGTCCTTGTACATCACATATCCCACCTTCTTCGCCATGTAATGCTCCAAGCGCTCAAGTCCGGCGGTCTCCCCACCCTTGAAAGGGCTCCGTTCACCCTGCAGAGAGAGCTTCACAAATGCAGCCATGAAGAAAATCAGGAAGGAGACGTCACCAAAGGAAAGGGGACTAAACATGCTTAAAATCTCAGAACAATGGTGCATGTAAATCTAAAACTATCATTGTTGTACATTCATATCTGACAGTTGTTGGATAATCAGGGCTGTGTTACACCCCAGATCACTCTTGGTGCCAACTCACCCACCAACAATCTCCCCAAGTACACAAAGTCTACAAGGAAAGCATAAAATGAACTCACAAGCACAGCAAAGTCTACAAGGAAAGCATAAAATGAACTCACAAGCACAGCAGACTCAGGGGCATCACCAACATCACACTCTTGCCTGAGGGTTCCCTTAACAACATACGCGAACAAAGTGGTAGGTCAGCAGCATTGATTGAAGGGAAGAGGAGAAGAGGAAATGATTACACTGCAAAGCTCTCAACTCTCTCTCTCTCTCTCTCTCTCTCTCTCTCTCTCTCTCTCTCTCTCTCTCTCTCTGTGGTGAGTAGTGTGGCCAGTCCCGTAAGAGAGATGGTGTTTTGGCGCCAGTCTAGGAATATCACAATCTTTGAGTATTTATTTCCCAAGATCAAATCAAACACCAGGAATAGCATGATCGAAGCTCTCCAGGACTCTCTAAAACCAAGAGTCGTGTCCATAAAGGGACAGGAGACCATGTGTTTTGGCGCTACTCTTTACGAATGTAGAACCCCCATTCCTACCCAACCAATTGTCAAAGCAGCTAGCCTACCTAGAGAGAACCATAACCCACATACAAGCAAATAAGCTTAGATAAACCCCTAACCCTCCATGAGCGCCACCAAGCCGTTGAGATGATGGGCAACTATAAGGTACCTGCTCCTACACTGATTGACTATATGACCAAAGAGTTCTGGTCCCATTTCTGGTATCTGCTTGGGGAGGACCTCCGCCGATCCTTCATTGACAGCTGGGAAAGAGGAGGCCTGGACAGTGACCTAAGCACAAGCATTGTATCCCTACTACACAAGAAAGACGACCAGCATTGTACCCCTACTACACAAGAAAGACGACCTGGAGGGCTTCGAAGAATTACAGACCAAATTCCCTCCTAACCGTCCCTTACAATTTTTTTGCCAAAGCTATGGCCAACAGAACACTAAACCTGACACACATACGCTTCGATCAAGACCAAGCAGGCTTCGCTCCAGGCCACTATATCTTGGATGAAGCGTCCAAGAAAATCACCGAGAAATGAATGCACGCAGCAATCCTTTTCTTTGATTTCGAAAAAGCATAAAATCAAGCCAACTGGGATTTTTGCATTACCGTATGGAAAAGATGGGAGTGGGAAAGAATTTCAGGAATTGGGAACAAATTACGTGGGGGAAAGAATTTCAGGAATTCGATAGAAATTACATGGGGGAAATAATTTCAGGAACTGGATAAAAATGATGTACAACGATGCAAACGGCCTGGTCCAAGTGAATAAAGCTTTATCAAACCCGTATCCTACTTCAACATCTAGATCTATTCGTCAAGGAGACACGTTCCCCCCTCCTCATCCTTTTCATCATGGAGGCAATAGCATCCTTCTTGAGAAAAGACCCCTTACTTGATAGACTAACGTGTCAATGCACCAACTCATGTCACGACTATGACCTCCCGATGGCTTTAATGTGTCCAGACGACATAAAAATCCTGGTGAAGGCCTTGAGTGCCTCCTTCCAGACCATAGTGCGTGCAATGGAAGCATTTAGAGTGGCATCCAAAATGCGGGTCAACTGGGACAAAACGTTGGGATGGTGGCTGGCCGAAGGTCCACTCCGTCAGCCTGAGAACACCTCAGAAGAGCTAGAATGGATGACAGGTGAGGAGGCTCTATGCTACCTACGCATCATGGTCACTAAGGGAGGTACACGGGCTGAATGAGCTCAAGACGGAAGGACCGGCGCTATGGTGGAAAGGCCACCAGATACTGTGAAACCGTATGAGCGTGCGCTTAACCCCCCCCCCCCCCCCGCCCTTCCCGGGCTCAAAAGCGCTCGCATTTTATGACCCGAGAAAACAATATTCCCGAGCCCGCTCAAACCCCGTTCAAGGCGCTTTGAGCGTGGGATTGAGCGGCGCTGAAAAACTTGAGCGCCGACCGCGCGTTCAATCTGCACGGTTTCTCAGACCAGATATGGGCACTGGCACGGGGCACAAAAGGAGGGGTGTGCATCCTGGTATCACCCCATTTAAGGGGGAAATTATGGATTGGTATTATGATTCAAGGGGTAGGTGGGCATGGGTGATACTGCAGTGGGAGGAGGAAATCTGGGGAGTGGTGACAGTGTATGGCCTGCTGGAAGCTGGAACGCGATGCAGGATGTGGGAAAGCCTACAGACCTTGGTGCCGGACGTTGACAAATTTATTACAGCAGGTGATTTCAACATCATCGCCGATCGAAGTCTCGACGCCGTCCACCCAAGGCAGATGGAGGCCGACTCGCTCGCACTCATCAATGGAATGAATGGGCTGGGCTGCTCAGACTCATATCCAACACTGTACCCGCAAGAAAAGGCCTACACCTTTTGGGGGAACACAGTGACCAGGAGGAGTAGAATTGACATGATTCGAGATTCGGCAGACCTTAAATAAAGTACTCGAGCAAGTGCAGATCAAGCCAATGGCCACATTGGATCAGTATTGGCAAGCTTCCCCGTGGGTGGGCGAGAGATGGGCCACCCACCGAAAGCGATACCGGCATGGGTGTTCAAAAGCGCAGAGTTCCAACCCATGGTGGCCCAGTGTTGGGAAGACTAGGCAAATGAATGCCCACATGACAATCTGTTGGACAATGTGGTGGCGGCAACTCAAGACCTGCGAAAGAACCTGGCGAAACACTTGCAGTGCAGCTAACTCGCACACCAAAGAACAGGAGAGGAGTATGCTAGTAGGCTAGAGGAGCTGAAGAAAAGCCCTGATGGACAGAAACTGGAGGGAATGGTGGGTGGAGAGACTGGAGGTGGACAGAAACTGAAGGGAATGGCAGAGGCAGGAACCAGTCAAATGGGGGAGGCCTACCAAGGAGTCGTGGATCCTTGTGGGGAAGCACATGTCGTGTAGATTCTTCACAGCAATAGGCAAGCATAAGGTGGCAACTTTGATGACAGCAATGAACCACCCGTCTGACGAGAATCAGGAAAAGCAACGCACCACACGAGAGGCATCTTGAAGTATGTGACAGACTTCTACCAGCAACTATTACCAGACGAAGAGGATTGGACACCGGTGGAGATGGCCAGTGGGCCGGAGCACGAAGTTTGGAAGCACGTTCGGAATCGTCTAGAATTAGAAAGCATGTGCATACTAGACGACGATCTCAGGGCCGAAGAGGTGGAGGCAACAGACACAGAGCTCCCCCACCTCAAAGCGCCTGGGCTGGACGGGATGCCCGTGGAGATGTCTAAGGATTTTCGCTGCTTCTTCGTGACCCTGCTGGCAACAGCATACAACAAGGTGCTGAGGCATGGCTCCGTCCCGCAGGGCTTCGCTGATGCATACATAGTCCTGCTCTACAAGAAGGGGGCGAAAGAGGACATGCACAACTGGCATCCGGTGTCCATCCCGAATGCGTCATATAAGATCGTCGCTAAGGTGCTGGCCACTCAACTGAAGCAAGCGCTGCCGAATAGTATCGATTGCACCCAGACACAGATGCTGGAAGAAGACGAATGCACAGGGAAGGCCATGGCCTTCGTGTCCATAGACCTGGAGAAGGCCTATGACCTGGTCCGCTGGGGATTTTTACTGCAGGGGATGGCGCACCAGGGAATAGGGTTTTTTTTTTGCAGCTGGGTCAGGAGCCTGCTGGGTGGGGGCACAACTGTGATGCAGGTGAACGGAGTCCGATCAGACAAATTGAGGATCACCAGATTGATTAGGCAGGGGTGCCCATATCCCCAGCCTTATATGTCATTTACATAGAGTCAATGCATGACATACTAAGGGCGGACGACCGGCTGACCAGCCTGCAGGCAGGGCCAGGGATGGAATTGCAGTCCACAGCATTCGCGGACAACTCTGGAGCAGTGATTCCCCCAACGACTCAACAACTGGGAACCCTCAACGAAGACCTCTCTGTTTTCTGTAAGTACTCAGGAGCAAGGGTGAATTGGCTCAAATCCAAGGCCATCGTCCCACCGGAGGTTGAGCCGCCGGAGGATGGGACATCTCGACAGTGGTGGAGGGAGAAAGAATGGTTTTCCAGGGGGCTGACCTAACGCCGGCCTACGGAGGGGTCGAGCAGATGGCGATTCAAGCCATGGCAGTGGTGGCACGGCTCAAGGCATGGAGCACGAGACGGAGCATGGGAGTCTTCGGTACGGTTCTGGTAATCAATAATTCGGTACTGGCAACATCGTGGTACGCAGGTGCTGTGCATATGCCGGGCAAACGGACCTTCCGATATATCAAGAGGGCAATCCATGCGCACCTATGGTCTAACAACGCTGATGCCGAAGACTCCATCTGCAGAGTCGTGTGGAACAAATCGACCCAGCCAAGACGGTTTGGAGGACTGGGGATCTTGGATCCGAAGCTGCAAATCATTGCCTTGCAGCTACGACACCTGATATGGCATCTGGTTGGTACGGTGGGAGGAGCTTGGCAAGAAATAACTGCGACCCATTTGGCATACACACTTCAAGTGCCTAGGGAGGTGGTGGATCTGTGCCTGATCAGCACCGCGGCAATAGGACATATTCACCGGGACACGGTGTGGAGTCTGTGGACCACAAAAGTGGCATTGTGGAAAAAGACCAGATGAGGTGCCGCCTGCCGAAAACGGCGGATGCAGCCTTCAACCAGCTGCTGTTTAGCAATAGATTTATCTGCGATGCGACTGGGGAGTCGTTCCCATGGCAGAACCTTCGGGGCACCTATGGATGGAAGTGGGCGGAGCAGCGAATCTACAAGGTGGGGCACTGAAGGGTCGAAGAGCGGAAGGACTGGCATTCCGATGACGAAATGGAGGCAATGCTGCATGGGAGAATGAGGAGGAGGCAAAGGGTGGTGCAGGAGACCATCCCCCTGGGTGGATCGAGATGCTGAGAGAAGATGAAATAACACCAGGGGAATGGGTAAGGATGAGAGGAAGCACGGAACCAGAGAGGGTGTATAGGGTGGAATGGGTCTCGGCAGAGGGGGGGGCTATAGCCTACGGAGTGGCAGGTCACATCACGATACGGAGTAGGTGAACCCCTGCGAGAGGGGGGCTTGCAAGGGGGGCCCTCCCTAAAGAAACTAGAAAGAAGCGCCGTGGAAATAGTGGCAGTATGTGAAAGAAGACACAAGAGAGAAGGACAATACCTGTTCCACCAGGACGGTCACTCTAATGTTCTCCAAGGTCCTTTCCTGATATGCCTGGAGCCGCAGGGATGCTCCCTGCCTACATCGTTCCTTCCGCAGGGTCCTCAGGGCCCGCAATACTGCTGCCCGTAGGATTTCTGTTGCTATTGGCCCTTCAATTTTCGGTCTGTCGACTTTCATTACGGTCCCTAGGAGGATTGCTGCATCATCTTCCTCTGTGAGGTCCAGCGGCGTCTTGTCTGCGACTTCTTGCGCCCACCACTCTCAGAATGTGGCATCGTACAAACAGGTGAGGAATAGTCTCAACTTGTCCGCAACCTGCTGCACAGTGGTGGTCCTTGTGTCGGCTCTTTGTTGCTAGCCATTCTGCTGTGGGGATGGCCAGATGGTATATTTGCCATAGCAGGCCCGCCTGCTTCTGGTAAGGCAGGGCAGCCAGAATAGCACACTGTTCATTCCATCTCCTCTGCGTCCATCTGTTGAGATACACACCGGGAATCTAGCCCCTCTTCGCCCACCGGTCCCTCAATTCCCCGCAAATGTCTACGGATTCCAGCAGCGAGTGGTTTATATTCTTCGTAGTCAATCCTTGGAGCTGCACCGTTTTCCTCTGCATCCCCTGAGCTGGCCATTCCCACTCTGCTGGATCCCATGTGAGATCCCGCTTTCTACAGTTCACCCACCGCTTGGGTTATTTAGGGATGAAGTCTCGTCTTCTTCTCACTCTACTAGACCGCGTGTACCACCTCATCTGTGAAACTACTCGTTCTGTACACAATACAAGACACATAAAGGATACTGAACCCGCTCCCCTTTCTTTTAACTGCTCTTTTCTCCTCCCTCTCTTGGATTTCAGGAAAACGTGCGAAGTTCGGGGTCTGTTTGTTTGTTGGTTTGTTTGGTCTTCCTTGTAATCCCTTTTTTGCTTTTGCATGAGTTCGTTTGTAGCCATCTATCTGTTTAGAAAAAAAGATGGTCATTTCGTAGTTGTGCTTCCGGCTTATCACTTCCTGTGTGTATTTACCATTTAGTATCCGGCTTGTTGTTTCCCCCAATGTCCGTTTGGACATTCCTGGCCGCTTCTCTGTTTTTCTGTTTGTGCTCGCTCGTCTGTTCATGTCTCTATTTCTCTCTCAAGATCATCATCTCTGTTTGGTACCGCAGAATGATAAACCCTTTGCTAGTGTTGACATTCAACTTGACACCTTTGATTGCCATTTAGAATTGTTATCTTCATCCGGATAAGATCAGTTGTAGCCTTCAGCACTAGGCTACAGTGGGGGCGGGGGGAGGAAGGCTTTTGGGAAAGATGGGGCCCTTACCCACAGCTCATGACACGAGACCCTCAGTTGGACCGGATGGGATTCGGGCCCGTCTTGCTGCGCCGTGGACCCCGCCCTGAACCCAAATCCGAAAGCATCTAGGAGACCAGCAGGAGACTACAGTTCCATAGATAACAACCGAGGTGTACTATAGTTACAGAGGAAGGATAGGAGGACAAGTAGGTTCTGGTGGGATGCACGTGTAGTCATTGTGTACCATAATAGTCGGGCAGGTAGGGGGGGCAGACATCCGTGTAGGAAGTAGGGGGAAGTAAAGGACTGAGAGCTAAGAGGGGACAAAATCCTTAAAAAACTGAAAAACAGCAAAAGCAAGGAAAACATAGTTGAACTTTGAAATATGAAGATAAAGGAAGAATGGAAAGACAGGCAGGAAGAAGGGAATATGGATGATGGATGGAAATTAGGTGTAAAATTGTAAATATAGGGTAGAATAGCCTGAAGGCCTATTAGTCTCTTGGCAAATAGAGAGACGAGGGTGGAGAGACAAGAGTAGTAGATTGCCTATACAAAATAGATGGTTTTGGCAAGAATGGAGAGACAAGCCAGAGAGTGACACTAGTAGTGTTCTGTACATAAAATAGATGCTTTTCAAACGCCTGGTGGGCGGAAACAAGAAATAGAGTAGTAGGGAGCATACTAGTAAAACTGGAAGACCTTGAGATGGTGATAAGAGGCCTGGGAGACTGCTAGGACCCCCCCTCTCCCCYCYCCCCCCCCCCCCCCCCCCYCMCCYCSCCCTTCTTGGGATACCCCTGCTGGGTGATTAGGTGCTGCTAGTAAGCCTCCCCATCAGCAGGGGAACCCATGAAGAAGAGCCAGGGTCTGGAGAGGGGTGTGGGTCGTAGCAGTCCCTCCCTTGGGCAGGTGACTAGGGCCACACGGGTAAAGCCATTTCTCTAAGTATTTTCTTATTTCCCGTTCCCTCTCCCCTCTCCCACCCCTCTTCTATGTTGTGGATACGTGCTTGCCAGTGATAAGCAACCAGACTGATACCCCCTCCAATAGAAGAGGTTGTGTTTGTTTTGCAAAAACCAAAAAAAAACTGTTGAAATGCAGACCTGAGTTCGAATCCAGATGGGAACCTGATGAACGAAATTCTTGAAATATCTAGGGCCAGTCAGTTTCACGATTGCCCTTCAAAAAAAAAAAAAAAAAAAGGAAAAGGGGGCTGGGCGAGAGAAAGTAGGGAGAGGGAGAGAGGAGAGAAACGTCACCAGCTCTGGAGTGCCATATCCAAGATCTCGAATATCTGGAACTCCAATGACAGCAAGTTCATTTCCCAGGTCTAACGGTGGCAATGGTATTTTCGCTGGCGCATCTCCAATAGGCGGAGGTGGCTTGCCGGCTAACTTCAAGAAGGACTGGTATGTCAAGGGTGGTCGTCCCCCTGCCTGCAAGGTCCAGTAAAAAGCCAGGCGTCAAATCTAATCCCACAACAGTACAAAGGCCAGAACATCACACAGCCAAACTTTAAACACGTAAATTGAAATAGAAGTGGCCAAACCAAGGCGCCCATCAACTTTTTCCTTGCTGTTCACCAAACTAGCATTTGCTGCTTTACAAGGCAGTGAACAGTGTGCCCGCAAACCTCAAAGTCACACATCCAGAGTGCGAAAACAAAAGTTGACATACCCGCACCCAAAACAATGCCTCTATCACATTTGCCATCTTGTTTTTTATGACATTTTCCATCTTGCTCACTGATATGAGTGGGCATGGAAAACATCCTACGGTCAAATGGGCATAGAGCGCAGAACCAGCATCCTGGACTACACAACCCTGTTTGGCTACAATTTACGACGGCGAGCGGTCAACATAAGTGCCACACTTTCAGCAAGATGGCTGAAGCATGAGCAGGGAGGTTTAGGGCCTGGGACTCAGATCTCGTGGCAAATCCTTTAGCAATCAGAAACACCCGCACCAGAAGCATGCAATGGCTCATCTATTACCATGCACTACCCGTCAACAAGTGGCTAATCAGGCGACGATCAGAGGAGGCTAGAACAGCTCCAGACGACCTTTGTGCCCTCTGTCATGAGGGGGTCTCAGAAGACCTGCATTGCTTGCACTCCTGCTCAAAGGCGACACAGCTCTGGAAGAGAACAGAATCATTGTGGGCTTCCCTAACGGGAACACCCCTACCTGGTAACAGCATTACACGACTAACTGGCCTAAGCGAGCCAACCGTATTGGTCGCATGGCAAAGGACCCCTTTTCAGAGACTTCGACCTCTCACACTATGGATAATACCGAAGAGAATATGTAAAGAGGCTATAGTTAGTCAGACTGTTACCAAGCCTCAGGCTTGGCAGACTCTCCTCCACCTACTACGGGCTGAATATCAAGTAGACTGGAACAAAGCCGCGAAGCTCATCCAAAAGACCCCATGAAACAACAAGGAATCATTGACAAGTTCAAGAGAGAACGACTGGACGGAGGTCAACTAGGAGACATCGAAGGCAGCACACCAAGGCTTATCTGGAGGATCGCAGGGGCCCAACAGGGGGATCACCGCAAAGCAACAGAGGTTCTGTCAACACTACTTCATTCACCAACACAAATGGTCAACCTGGCCACGATGTGACAAGGAAGCTAGTTACAGAGAGCCGCGTTGCAGGTCAGGATAAGAGAGAGAAGTTTCACAGAGATTACCCTTTTGACTCTAGGATAATACATTCACCTGACAGCCGTGACAGCTGAGAGGAGTACACAAGGCCAGAGAAAGAAAACATTTTCGTAGAATTAGGAAAGTGCCAGGCCTAACTCATACACAGATGAGGAGGAGGGGGAAGAGACGAAGGAGAAGGGGAAGAGATGAGAATGTCGTCAACTCAAATGTCGCTGATATCAATCCCAAACAGTCCCCCCCCAAGGTCTCTGCCCAATGTCGAGTCCAAATCCCAAGTGTCGTCAATCTCTCTCTCTCTCTCTCTCTCTCTCTCTCTCTCTCTCTCTCTCTCTCTCTCTCTCTCTCTCTCTCTCTCTCTC